ACATTCTAGCCGAGCGCCAAACACTTAGTAGAGTAAGTGACAAGTGGCACTATAAGCCAAACGCCAAACACTTGCGCAAAAAGGTGTGTGCTAATAGGCAATTGGCATTCTAGCCGAACGCCAAGCACACTCAGCAGAGTAGGTGGCAAGTGGCACTGTGAGCCGAACGCCAAACACATGCACAAAAAAAAAAACGTGCCGAATGGTGAGTGGCATTTTAGCCGAATGTACTTGACACTACGAGCTTGTGCGAAATAAGAACCAAAATAGAAAAATTAAACTATCAAATCATTCAAATACGAGTTGAAAAATAGAAATGTAGCAAAATAGAACTGTCATTTCCTCTTAAACAGGGTGTTCCTAAAGTACATGAGTTGATTCTTTTTCATTAAAAAAAAGAAAAAAGAAAAAAAGAAAAAAAAGAGAGGAATTACAAAAGTCAGCAAAATGCTACTCTACAGTATCTCATCCTATGCTGGATCCATTGCCCGTCTTATCATCACCAGCTGGCCCATTGTTTTCCTCTCCGTCATTAGCTCCTCCACCATCTCTGGAGGGAGAGTCAAGGTGGATGATCTCCTCAGTTGGTAGAGTTTTGCCAGGGGCAGTAGCAGTTGCTTAGGGAACAATGGCAGTGATGGGATGAACACTTAAAGGAATAGGGCGAATAGGAGGGCTCACCCCTGAAGCTGCAATTTCCTTATACTCAATGAAAATGTCATCTGCAGGAGTAGAGTCTGGGTCTTGATAGGTGTTCGGCGGATTGATGTCCAAGGAGTGCAGGATCATTCTCGGGTTCGGCCCCACCTTCTGCATTGAACCTCTGTGTAAAAGCATCAACCAACTCCACCCTAACTGGAGTAGAGGAAGGGGCATCGAGCACCAAAAGAGGTAACCCTTGAGAGCCCGAAGGATATTGGAGAGGAGGCAAAACCTCAGTAGCCACCTCACCTTTCAGCAAAGCAGTAAACTCAATCTCCCTGGGACCAACAGAAAGCTCGGCATACTCCCCAGTAATCAAGAGCCCTTGCTCGGCACCATACTCGTCAGCATCGCCATACTCCCTCTCTTCAGAAGGAAGCTGCCCATGAGCAAAACCAAGCCTAAAGCCTCTGGCATAACGAAGATTTGCTATCTGGGAAAAGCGGTTGAATATCTCCAAACCCCCATCCTTGCAGGTTTGGATAAGAGAATTCGTTTTCCTGAGCTGCAAATTAAGCTCAGCAGCTCCCGGAGCAGCACAAGAGCTTGACTCGCCTTTAGGGAGAGAACGATCAATAAAACCGTCTCTGTACCCTCCAGCGTATCTAAGGGCCCATATCCTGGTGAAGCGAGCATGGAGAGCCCTCATGCCACCATCAACTTTACCTATAACATCCAGCAAAGCGAAGTGTTCATTTAAGAACCTTTCCTTAGAGTTGGAATGGGTCGACTTTTCAGCAATCAGAGTGCGCTGAAGGTCCCTCTTGTCAGCCCTTAGTGCATCTCTCTCAGTCTGGGCGACATTCCTTTCTGTCTTTAGAATGTCAGCTTCATCCATGAGGGAATCTCGCTCAGCCTTTAAGGTTTCCATCTTAGCTCTTAAAATGTCCCTCTCAATATTCGCAGTGTCCCTCTCAGCCTTCAGAGCGTCAATCTCATTCTCTCATTTATTCAGCTTCGCCAGCAACTCTGAGTTCTTGGCTTCGGTTTTCCTCACAGAATTCTTAAGACCTTCAGAGAGGGACCTGAGTTTCTTGTTCAGTGTCTTAATACTCTTTTGGAAAGTGAACATTCCAAATAGAGTCTGTATAATGTTAAAGCTATTCTGATAAGTACGAATGTCAAGTAATCACAGAGGAGAAAGTAAAGTAAAAAGGGGAAGAATGAGTTACCTCAACAGCAGCTGCTTGAAAGCACTAATACATTTCAGTGAAGGTCATTTTGTTCTGGATTTCAATGTCCTTGGGGTCCAGAAGCCCCTGTAGAAGGTGAAAGATGTGAGTGGGTCTTTGAACAATGAATCTGTGGGGGTAAGACTGACCCATCCTCGCGGTAAAGCAAGGGATGCCAGGGAGTCACATTGGGAAAAGAGCCGAAAGTTCTGGCTGACTCACTTTCTGGAATGGACAGCCGAGGGGATGGGACAGGATTGGTGACCCTAAAGGAAGTCCGAGCTCTTCGAGCTGGAGGGAGGTCATTCTGGTCAAAACCACCCTCAGACATGGGCCTTTTTTCCCAAGCTTTTCTTTGAAACATTAATTCGGGCAGGGGAAGACCCTTCAGCAATTGGAGAAGAACCCCCAACATTATGAGCCCCATGCTGGGAAGTTTCAGCTGTGGCGTCAGAAGGGCCATTGTTCAACATAGTAGGATGAACTTCAGCTGAGACAGAGGGCCCAACATTTGGATGCGTTAGCCTGGGCAACAACTGGAACTTATGAAGTGGCTGCAGTGGTAGCTGGAGTAACTGAAAGAGTAGGGGCAGGACGCCCCCTTCTGCTGAAAGAGGGAATTCTGATACTATTTATTGTGGATCCAAGGATAAATATATCGGAGAGATTGGCAGACTTGAGCAGGTCAGTGGCTGAGGGGATATTGCTCAAGACTCTCTCCTTCAAAATGTCAAGCCTGGTCCTGCAAATGCTGTAAACCAACTCATCATGGTTTATTTGAAGGCAACTATAAAGAAAAATACAAAAACGAGGAATACAGAAACGGGATACTTTTTAAATTTTTTATATTGGAGGATAGAGCACTCCCCAAAAGTAGTTGGGATAGGGAAGGTCAGAGCAAGTGGAGTTTCCCAATTTCCACTAACCCCGGTCAAACTCTTCTTCCATCCCTTTTCAAATGAGAGCTTGCCCGTACAGATGGATCGCTTCTCGATATGATGGAAGTGAAAATACATCTCATCGTTTCTGGTTTTAACGATTCGATAGCAAATGATGAGGTCTATCATGTCTAATTCAAGACCCCTATCACGATTCAAAATTATGAGGACTAATATTACCCTAAGAAAGTTAGGGTTAACCTGAAGAGAGGAAAACCCTAATTTATTGAAGACATAGCAGAAGAACGAGTGTAAAGGAAATTTGAGTACATTCAAATGAAGTGCCGAGAGGAGAATCTCCCCAGGAAGGAGACCCTCACCAGCACTTTCATCTAAATTCGCAGAATAAACCCTAAGAGAAACATTATTGGGAATATTGTTCTTCGAGCTAATGGCATCTAAACTGAGGGGAGCCATAAAAGGGAGAGAGGCTTTTAAGTGTAAAATTCCTTTCTTTTAAGGAAAACAGCAAGAGGAAGGGACTAACCTTGTAAGGATAATTTGCAAAACACCCTGTAACAAAGCAAAAATCAAATCGCGAGAGTTCGCCGGAAAGTACAGATGAACGACAGGAACGATTGAAGAGGATAGAGGTGAGAAAAATTGAAGAAAGACAATAAATGATGAGTTAAGACTTTTTAAAGAAAAAATGGTTCGACCTTCAAGGAGCTATGTTGAAGATGGTGTAGCAGATCTTAAAGCATCAATCTCTGAACTGACCGTTCGCTTCCCTACGTCACCACTCCGAGCCGTCATGTCACGGGCGTGTTTTTTCGATAATCCCACTCTAATTAATTAGGGAGAGATTATGGGGGCAGATGAGGATACCTAAAATGACTTGGGGCGGGTACAGTTAATATGGTTGTGAGTGGGTCGAACAAAGACTATCGTTTTGGACCAAGTCTTCATTAATCAAGCCCAGGATCATGAAATTAGGGTGGAAGCCCAGTTTTAGATGAAAGGAGCTGAGCTCATAGTGAAAAAAAGCCCAGAAGAATAGCCCAGCTCAGGCAGTTAGTGAGAAAATATCTAGAAGGTCTGTAAAAGTCTATAAATAGGTTGAAATTAGAGGGAAAGGGGGTTGGAAAAATTTGAAGTGTAGAATTGTTCTTTCTAATTTCAGAGGGAAAATGTCTTGTATCTTCAGTGCCTCTTGCTCGCATTCGAGCTCGTCGATAGTTCAAATCTGAGGCCGATAGATTGCCTTTTTACTCGCAGACTAGACTTGCAGAACGCGGGTTCTCTGTTGGAAGATTGACATTCACCCCGGAAGCAGTCCGTTCATCGTCGCCGGATTACTCATTTCCTGTCGTTTGGAACTGCTATCCTCATCATCCTTCACCGCCATTTCATCGCCATGCTCGCTGTGCTACCATCCTTGTTCTGGTCTGTAACTAAACAAAGTGATATATATATATATATATATATACACACACACTATAGCATTGTTTGGCTACAAACATCTCTCTTATTCACTATATATGTTCAAACTCATAGTTGCTAATTCTTGATAATTTCATTGAGGACCAATTGAGAACCTAGAGCTTCAACCATAAATAATCCAGTTGAGAGGAAAGAGGAATAGTGAGAAAAAGCCATTTTTTTAAAAAATTTATTTTTGGGTAAAATGTTAATGGGCAAAAATGGCCATTTCCTATTTCTAGATATTTTGATTATTTTTAATAATATAATAATAAGGGTATATGAATAAATTCACTATAAAATATGACAGTGAGATCTTTGTAAAAAATTAACAAATCCCATATTAAATTACAATTAAACCAAACTTTAGGAGAAGTCATTATAATTTACCCTAAAAAAATCAACCATAATGCTGGAAAAAAAAAAAAAAACAAAAAAAAAAACTTTCAAACAGTATACCATCACGGGACCTGTACAATCTCTTGCTACAGCGGACCATTATTGTTTTTATTTTTAAAAAAAATTATTTATTTAAATGTTTATATTATTCACCGTTTTATAAAAAATGTTATTTTTAAAGAATCGTAATTCTCATAAATTCAACTGTTTCAATTCTCGAAATACGACACTTTTTTATTTTTATTTTTATTTATGACGGAGGTATATTTGTCAATGAGGTGAGAATATGACTGTTACTGTTTGACTACAACTCCGTATATGTTATTATTACAATTTAAATATTTATACAGAAAAATTATAGTGCTATTAAACTTGAAAAATTGGGGAATTTTCCTGATTTCACAATAGCTAGACCCAGAGAGGGGAAAATGGTGAAATTTTCGATGGCAGAAGATGATATCGAAGGATTTCGACTATACGATGATGATGACGAAGGACCTAGCAGACCAACGCCCAAGAAACAGAGAACTACCTGCACTCAAAGACAAGAACAACAAGAAGAAGTAGCTGAAGAAGAAGAAGAAGAGGAGGAGGAGGAAGAAGAAGACTATGGACCTGAAGACGAGGAAGAAGATGAATCTGAACAAGAAGAAGAAGAAGAGGAGGAAGAAGAAGAGGAAGAGGAGGAGGAGGAGGAGGAGGGTCAGAACGAAGATCCCCTTCTTCCAACTGCGATTCGTTTTTGTCAAAACACAACAACAAATGGAATATCATTGGGATTGAACAGTGGTGCCAACCTCAACAATCATGCACCCAACCGCGATGGCTCCATTTCCGTAACCCTAACCGACCCAGATGTGTTGGATTGCCCCATTTGCTTTGATCCCTTGAGCATTCCTGTCTTTCAGGTACTTCTCTTTCCATATTCTTGTACTATACTTGTTTCCTTTTAACCTGATTGGGTGTCTTTATATCACGGGTATGACCAAATTAGTACTGGAATTTTGTGTTACGCTGTGTTAATGTAGTGATCTATCGTTCATTTTGATGGTTATTTGGGTTTTGGTGTATTCATAACCAGCAAAGATGGGCATGATTAATCACTTCAGTATTAATCATTGAAAAAGAAAAATACTTATAATATGGAAACAGAAAGATAAGGAATATACAGTGTGAATCACTTCAAAATTCTCTCTAAATTCTATACAATTTTGATCAAACGCTTGAATAATGCTAACCTCCATTATCTTTGATTCCTGCTGAAATTATTCCATCCCGACCTGAAAAGCTGAAACCCGGCACAAATTATTATTATTATTATTATTTTTTTCCTTAACTCTATTGCTCTCTTCTTTCCCTCAAATGGAATCAGACAAAATCAATTTGTATCACAACACAATCCTTTACTGCTCCTCTTTAGAGCTTTTAAGCGAGATTATATATTTTAAAATGGAGGGCAGAATACATGATAACACTCTTTGGATACTATTGAGAAACAAAATAATCGTGTGGGTAATCTTTGCAATTGGAGGCATAATTAGTATATTGTTATAATGATGATTAATAACAAGACTAGAGTTTGGTTCTTCTTGTTTTTGTTTCTTAGTCTTATAATTTATTTTTGGTTTGGGTCACATCTTCTAGTTGGCTTGATTCCTTGCATGTTCAGTAATAACTGAATTGTTCAGTCTTCAAAATTCTGAGACAAACACAAGCTTTAATACCTATAAGTTTCCATCTTACCTGGGAATTTCTCCCATCATCTTAATTTATACAGGGAGAGACTATGCATAAGTAGCAAAATTTAGTTAGATATTGTGACTGAGCTGGTGTTTGATGGAGTCTCCCTGTTTGTATTGAATTTGATTCATGTGTGTCTTACTTCAGCCAAGCAGTTTGTGGTTGAGTTGTTATATATATACACTCACATGTTGATAGATATGTTTTAGACATTGAATGAACAAAGAGCTAAACAGCATTGAGAAAGCTGGTGCGTTGAATTAGACAGAGAAAGTCCATAGAGAGAGAGAGAGGAAAAAAAATTAATGGAGATAGATTTGTTTTTACTGCAATGGTGATGAAATTGGGTGGGAGTGAGTGTTGGAAGTGGTGAGGAAAACACTGGATTGTGTTCAAAAGTTTGATCCAAGATTGTAGCGAGGGGTTTAGGTGGATATTTTGGTCATGGTTGATATTGATGGTACAGGCAGTTCCTAGAGTGGCTGCTTTAAGTGTGGTGGTAGCCTTATTTAGGTGGTAGACAAATTAAGTAAAGTGGAGGCTTCTGGTTTCCATAAAAGATGGTGATGATGGCATTAGGAGGAGGTTTTGGTGTGTTGCATTACATTTAGATGTTGGTGACTGATAAACCAACTCCTCTCTCTCTCTCTCTCTCTACATGGTGATGTGGTGTGAACCAATTGGGGTATTCAGTTTTTGTCCCTCTCATTTATTTTTCTGAAGGTGTTTTGGGGAAATTAGATTAGTGTAATTCTTGTTATCATTGTTTCTCTTCTCAGTAATTCTTGCTATTATTATTCCATTTGGTTTATACTATGGTATGACAGTATAACTCATAGTCTCTTACTCCACTGACATTTTATGTCATCAAATTGATGACATCAGATTTTTTCTTTTAAAGTTACTGATGGAGGTTATGCATAGCCAACGGTATTGCTGACTGTTTTTACCTGTATTGTTATGCCTTATATGTTTGGTGCTTTATTTGGTGGCAGAGGTTATGCATAGCCAACTGTAATGCTGACCGTCTTTGCCTGTATGGTTATGATTTTTTTTATTTGGTGCTTTGTTTGGCATGGCACCATGGGGGAGATTATTGATTTTCTTTTGCAAACGTATCTTGTTTTCTTGAGCTTGAAAGTTTCTATCTTTGTGCCCACACATGGAAAGGTTGGAGGGGGAGGGTGGGGGTTGTTGAATGTTTTTAGTTCTCTATGCGGTGCCTATTTGTGGAGATCAAAAAATAAAATTAAAAAATGATTCTTTGTTTTGAATGCCTTGGATTGAGATATCTCCAAGCCAGACTATGACTGAAACTCGAAGAAGAGTAGGAGTAGCATGCGCTTTATTTTCCTTGAATCGGTGTACATTTACCTTGAATTGTCATTTATAAATGTCATAAATTGTTTTTGCGCATGTATGTCTTTGTAAGGGCAATCTAGACTGTCAATCGTGAGAATGCTTTTGAATCCTGAGAGCAACCAATTTATGAAAATACCCTTCCCAGTACCCAATTGGTAGGAATTCTGAGGACCACACTAGGTAATACCCTTTTATGCTTAAGTGTTGTCCTTAAGGTCTAGATACATTTGAATGAATTACATTAAGCATTTATGCAAATACCATTTCTCGGTGAAGTGGTTCTTAGTCATCTTTCAGTGGCTTTCAAAAGTTCGTATGACTTCAATGTTGGTTCCGTACAGGGAATTAAATCATTTGTCTCATCTTTATCATCTTAAATTGGTGTGGTCTACTTCAAAGTGTTGTATGCATGATTTAAGAGATTACATAGTGAAAAGATGATTTGTTATTTTGTATTAATACAATTCCGGCCATCTATCTTTGCCTTTTAAACTACAATTATGGATACGCTGTTGCACATAACTGTATGTCATATCCTTCTTATCAGAACTGATGCTGAAGTTAAATAGCTCTAATAACAAGGCTGCAAAAAAACATCATACAAGCAGCTTCAGTGGGGAACTCTATAGTCTCCCTGATACATATTTTCATAATTGGGGCTATTGCTGGTGAAAAGTTTTAACTTCATAATTATTATATTTTTTTGTTCATTGGATGTATGTTTAGTGCATCACTCAATTTACTCAAATGGATTAATCCTCTCTGCTGAAGCGATTTTTTCACTCGCTTCCAATTCTTTTTCCTGGCTGAAGCGATTTTCCCCATCTCCTCTTTCTAAATCTCTGAAAACTTTCTTAAAATGTAAAACTGTTCACATTGAAGCATGCATCCTTGGAAGTCTCTTCTCTTGTTGTTTTATTTGCTTTATTTTTCCTTTCATGATTTTATTGCATCGTTGCAGTCACCTTTTCTTCAACAATTTCTAATAGGAAGTTGTTGTTGTTGTTTCCTTCTTTTGTTCTCTAATTCGTTATTTTAGACCTGTCCTATCCATTAAAAACGTTGCCTTCACTTCATCTATGAGAAAACTAATTTTCATGAGGGTTTTGTACAAAACTAAGAAAGCAGTCTTTGCTCACTAATTGTCCTGCTCCCATGCTTTTGTGGAAATATTGGATGTTATATCCATCCCTTTTGGCTTTTGCATTGTAATACACAACTTTGGTTGTGTATGAGTTAATGTAAGATCATTTTCCCCTAAATATGACTTTACAGTCTGTACCACTTGGTTTTTTAATCTTGGATACCGTTTTTGATGTGATTAAGATCAAACTATGAAAGAATCAATGAATTAATTGTAATTTTTTGTAACCAGGATGTGGGACCTAGGACAAAATTGTTCCTGTGAATAGTATGCTTCTATCTTGTTGGATTTGGATGCTCTGAACTGTTTGGTATGGGGGTTATAATGTGTTGTATCCAGGTTTCCAATTCAATCTCACACACTTTTGGCTGACTCTAGTCTATCTTAGTGGGTGAGATCCCTAAACTGTGCTTTGACAATTAGTTCCAACATCTAGTTCTTCAGGGTGGAGATAAAATGAGAGAAACTCGGTTAAGATGGTTAGGGCACAAAAGACCTTTAAGTGCTCCAGTTAGGAAGAGTGACATGGTCCGCATTGAGGTAAATTGGCAATGCAAAGTTAAGGGGAAGATGTGGGTAGAGTTATTAAGGAAGGATATGATAACTGTTGAAAGAAAAATAAATAGTTGAAGAGAGAAATTAAAACATGAACCAACGGGCCAATGGCCTAGCGGTATCAACCTTTTACTTCCCAAAGGGAAGTCAGGGGTTCAAGTCTCAGAAGAGACGCATGTGTGTGAGTACCAACTAGGAAAAAAAAGAAATTAAAACATGAAGAGCACAAAATATAACGTGGTTCAGCCACTAGGGCTTACATCCACGACACAAAGAGCCAGAGGACTACATCTCTTTCATTACATTCTCTCTTGATTTTGTTTAGAATAACCACCTCTATTTATAGGTGAATCGGGGAAGACTTGTAATAAAGGAATTACACAGAAAGTCAAATATAATTATGGCAACAACTTGTTGCCCAAGTATAGCAACTTAACATGCTGTCAAGGAATGATTTAAGGGCTTAAATCACTCGTATAATTATTCTCCAACAATAACATGTGGTTTGACCGAGGATATGGCCTTGGATAGAGTGGAATGGAAGAATGGGATTTATCATTTATGTATCTGACCCAAGTAGTTGGAAAAAGGCTTTGTTCTTTTGTTGTCGTCGTTGTTTTTCTTGTATCCAGTTCTTCCCGGATGAGTGGATGACAAATAAAACCTCGAAAGAATGGGATTTATGTATCTGACCCAAGTAGTTTGAAAAGGCTTTGTTGTTGTTGTTGTTGTATCTAGATCTTCAGGGATGAGTGGATGACAAATAAAACCTTAAATCTAGGTGATTCCGAGGGTCATGGAGCCTTCATCCACATGCTGGCTGCGTTAATTACGGTTTATTTGGTGTTCTTCACCAGAAATATGTTTTTCATGTCAAAAAATTGAAATTGTTATGTTTTTAATTTCTTGCTCCTTACCGATTCTTGCAGCGAATATATTGCAAAGCAATGTTCTAAATCGTCTATAGTTTATTCTATGACTTGCTATAATTTCTTGTCCCTTGCCAATTCTTGTAATTGGTATTTTCAGCCAGTTACATTTTCAATGCTTATTTACAAGGCACACACAAGAATAAAAATCTGATATGTTTTTTTTTATTTTTTATGCTGAATCACAACCTAGTGTGAGAATGGGCATATAGCATGCTCCTCCTGCTGCCTCAAGCTTGGGAACAAGTGTCCCTCTTGCTCTTTGCCGATTGGTTATAACCGTTGCCGGGGCATTGAGAAAGTTCTTGAATCTGTCAAAACATCATGCCGAAATGCGAAGTATGGTTGTGGAGAGACAATGAGTTACAGTAAGAAACATGAACATGATGAGACATGCATTCATGCACCGTGTTCATGCCCTATTCCCGACTGCGACTTTGTTGGCTCCTTTAAGGACTTATCCATACACTTCGGCCCCAAACATTCAGATTCTGCTAGGTGTTTCATCTACAACTGCCCTGTCTCCGTTTCATTAAATGTGGAACAAAAGTACCTTATTCTTCGGGAACAGAATGAGGGGACAATTTTCGTCCTCAACAATGTTCTTGAAATTATTGGAAATTTGGTCTGTGTTAATTGTATTGGGCCGCCCTCATTAAAGAGAAGGTTTTTTTATGATCTTAAAGCGAGAAACCAGGGCAGCTCAGTGAGATTGCGGTCTTTTGCAGAGAGCAAGCCAAACTGGTTTGAACATCTTCCTGACAAGGGGTTTCTTCTAATACCGAATGATTTCATCCGTGAGCAGCTCAAGTTGGATATTTGCATTTGGAAGTGTCCGCCAATATAAAGAGTGGCGATGTCATAGTCATATATGTGGCCATATTGCATTTCATCTGGGAATTGACTTGGTATTGGAAGGTGGTGTTCTAGCCTAATTAAACTTGTTCTGTTTTGTTGGATTTAAAATCACTTGGCTGATTGTAAATTTGTCAAATTTGGCCTTTAAAGTAGTTACTGTCACCTGCAAAGCAAATATGTATTTATGTTGCTGCTCCAGCCTCTTTGCATTACCCTTGGTTCAGGACTGATTGAAGCTGCAAAAACTGAATATGCTGATTACATTATCATGACATTTTTCAGTTAATGCTTTTTTTTATTTTTACTTTTAATGTTATTTGTTCTTATTTTTAATGTTATTTGTCCTATGGTAGGAAATAAAATTTATCAAGGTACAAGAGAAAATATAGTACAACAAAAGGAGGAGCTCTCAAGCAGAGAGCCACACAAAGCTTAAAACAATCATAACAACTGCAAACACAAACCATCAATTGAAAAATTGGCAAATGGTATGTCTACATGGGCTGAATGTTTTTGTCTAGAAAGTTGGAAACTACCGTAATAGTGCATTTTCTCGCAATTTCTTTTATTGCTAAGATGTTTCCCAAATGGGCTGCTCTGTAGAAGACAAATATGACATATAGTTTTATAAAAGAAAGAAAAAAATTCTTCGAACACCCAACTGCTATCCCTTTTCTTTTTCTCTGTATGTATAAAAGTGTGTTGTGGAGAGATGAAACAAAATATAATTGCTTTACAAAACAAATATTGAAAAGAAGTAAAATGTTCGCTGGGTACTCACCACTCCTTTTTGTTGGTAGACCCCGGAAGAATTATTGAGTTAGAGTTGACAATCTCCATATATTGAGACCATGATATTGTTATATTGATTGATATTGCTCTCAAATTAATCTTTCCTTCACCCAAAAAATTAAAAATAAAAAGGAACGAATAAATAATAAATAAAGTCATCAAAGTGTGATTAGATGGAATGGATTAATTTCACTTCTAGTTTAGGAAAAAAAATTACTTCCAGTTTCGTACACTTATGAAAAAGATTAGGTATTAAACTATTCCACCAAAATGAAATTTAGTAACGGCCGTCACAAAATTAACAGAATGATAAATAAGGAAATAAAAAGGGTGACTGAATTTATTATTTATATTATAATTACATATCATTCGTGCTTTGTGATTGGACACATCAACAGTATGATTGTACTTTAGTAATAATATAAGGACTAAGGAGCAAAGGTACAACCCTTCCCAACTTAGATAGCTGCGAAACACCCGATCAAGAAGAAAATTCACGCCATGCCCGTGGTGGGAAAATCTTTAAGCAAGCCTTCAACGATCTCTTCTCCAAAATCAACGGCCAGCGACTTCTGCGTCAAATTAATTTGACTATCGAAGTCTATCCCCTCAATTTTTCAAAACCCTACATTTGTTGTTGTTGCTGCTGCAGTTTCATGCACCTGTTCTCAACCGCAAGCGCTCTCTCCTTCTCAGTTCAATGGTTTCGATTCTCTCTTCCTTTACAATTTTCATTCAATCATAAACTTACTTTCTTGCATTACACACACATATACATATTCTTTAAGGGTTTTGTTGAAGGTACTCCATGGAACTGTATTGGGTTCGATTTAATTAAAGATATTGAGGGGTATTTGGTACGCGTTTGCATACTTCTACTGATGGTATCGAATATGGTATTTTATGTTATTATTTGGATGGTAGTGAATTTGATGTTCTGAGAACTTCATGATTTACCTTGTTTTTGTTTTTGGTTTTTAGAGACAGAGAGAGAAGGCAAAAAAGAAGACGAAGATGGAGAAGAGAGTTGTTGAAAGACTACTTAGAGTAAGGAGGTATTAGAGAAACATGTGGTACAACCTGGAATAGCACATAGTACAAAACCACTAAGATTTTAAGTATATTGGAGTTAGGGGTTACTAAGAGCATCTTAAGGTACTATTTTGAACAGTTTTAGGTGACCCTCTAAGCAATGAATGAACTATTGCTCAGATGTGTTTGTTAAATCATTAGGTCCAAGAATGGGGTAGGGTACTACCCAGAGAAGCATGATGTTAAACAGCTTGCAAAGTCTTCGAACAGTTCAATATCTAAATTCCAGTGCTTCTGTTTTCCATGTCATAACGAAATCCATGGTTTAAACCCAAAGGGCATTTGAGTTTTACTAGAAGTTCTAGGGTTATTATATTGAACACTATAAAGAGCCATCAAGAAAATCATGAAGTACCCTAAGAATATGTTTCAGCAAACACATTGTTTGTTTTTTCAAATAGCTTTTCTTTTACCTACCTTCGAAGTTATGGGTTCTATGGTTTCTCTGTGCTTAGGATAATACAATATTAGCACAGAGTTGTGAGACATGGATATGATTGGCAATTCCTGAAAAGTTGGACATTGACAAAGCAAAAATTTGACGACATATTTACATAGCCTTTTATAATTTTATGAATGGGAAAAATATATGATTTGATTTAATTTATCTAATTTTTCTGTGTTAACAATTGCATAACTTAGAAGATGAGATTAAACAAATATCATCTACAGAATTATTTTATAAAACTACAACTACTATCAGTGCTGATGCTACCGCTACTCTCCTGTTTCATTATTTTTCTTTTTGTCTATATTCTTTTTCCTACATGAAGTGTATGCTACATAGTTGATCTTTGCTGGCCATGCATATGATACTAGAATTCCTTTGAAATCTGAACGACATGCTTTCTTCAAGTGTCAGAGGGCTGGTGGATGAGGCTTCTCTTAGGCTCCATTTTGATTGAAGGATTTCAAAAGACCATATTTTGGTCAATTATTTAAGAAGTAGAGTTTAAATATAGATCTAGTAATTTAAATTTCACAACATGCATGGATTGATTTCAGAGGATTATAGGTGTGAATTTCAAATAATAAAGTACGAGTAAAGTTTTTTGGCATAGATAGGGATGATGTTTTGCTTTGTTGAATTATATGTCCCTCCGAAGTTCCATTTGTAAGTTATACTGTTTTATGTTCTGTTTATTATTCTCAAGTTCACGGTTCTGGAGAGTTTTAAAAACAGTAAATATCAGGTTATAGTTTGTTATCATTATTATTATTTTACTTTTTATTTATATTAACTGTTATATTTCTATGAACTTCAAATTTTAAGGTAACTACTGGAGGAGATTCCGTGAAGGGAAAGAGAAAGGGCCAAGGGCTTAATGCAGTTGAAGGGAATAGGAAAAAGAAGCAGCAGCAGCAGGATGCCACACCTCGTCCTGCTTGCTCCTGGGTGCATTTTAGGTATCAATTGGTTTGTTCAAAGTGGTATCTCAGACATGTTAGCATATGCCTTGCGGAATTCTTCTTATCGACATACTTATGTCTAAATTAATTGTTTTAGTCGCGAGTTTATCAAAGAGTACAGTGCTTCCCATCCTGAATCCTCAGGCTTAAAAGCTGTAAGCCTCCTAATTGACTCTTAAAAGATAAAATTGTCATGCACACATATTTTTTCTAAATAAAGAATAATCTAAACGGTAATTTGGAGGAATTGTTTTTGTTCATTTTAGGCCACGAAGGCAGCCTCAGATGCTTGGAAGTCCATGAGCCTTGAGGAGAAAGCAAAATACACTAAGCGTGCTCGTGAAGTGTGGGATAACTACTTGAGCAATGCTCCTCTCTGTGTCCCTAAGCCAAGAAAACAGGTAAAGTAATCTTTGAGTGATTGTTGTTTATTGATGCTCTACATGACAAATCTTACAACTTATGTGATGCAGGCCAAACTAGTCACAAGATGTTCTCCTGGTCGTTTGTTCAATGTTTTACAACGCCTAACACCAGACCAAAAGGATGCTGTAAAGAGCCTGGGGTTTGGTAGCCTCCTTGGTCTAAGATGTAGAACCCTCCGTCGCAGTTTGTGTCTTTGGCTATTGGAGAGATTTAACACTGTGCGCCGCTGCTTGGAGATTTCTGATGAGCGCATTCCTTTATCCCCGCGGGATGTCGAACTTGTGATGGGATTAGCAGCTAGCGGGAAGGACGTGGTGAATTCAGGGCCTGATGATTTAATTGTAGAATTGCGTCAAAGTTATAATGCTACGAATCATGGGATTTCTGTCCGCCTCTTGGAGGAGCGGTTGGCAGCTCCAGAAGCAGGAGACGACTTTAAAAGATCATTTGTCCTCTATGCATTGGGCACTCTTTTGTGCCCTACAGCAAGGCTGGATGTCAGCCCTTCATTTCTTCATGTTTTGACAAATATTGATGTCATCCATCAGTACAACTGGGGGAAATTCTTGCTTGACCGGCTAGTTCGTGAGGTATCTCGCTTTCGACAAGGGAAGCAGCGCGCAGTTGGTGGTTGTCTTTTGTTTCTCCAGGTAAAGGAGAATGTTGCAAAGTGTATTTTTATTTTCCAGTAAATAAAGTGTCTTTGTTGTTTCTTTCTATTATTTTACCTGAAGACCTTTTTATCTATAAATCTATTTTTATTTAAGAAACAAAAATTTATTTCCTACCTATTTAATTGTTAACAGCTCTTTTATTATGAAAGCATCTCTGTCAGAGGACCTTGCGAGTCAGCCCTTGTTGCTCCGTGCTTATCGTCATGGGGTGAGGAAGAAATTACTGAGAGAGAAAAACTAGAAAGAGAGCTTGGTGGTTATGGGTTTGGGGAGGTAACATTGTAGTTGTAACATTTTATAATATATTATTTATGCAAATCCATCAAGTTATCTGTTCTAATGCAGGTGATGTACAAGGAGAGGTTCCTTGGGACGGAGTCATTAGGGAACAAATCAGAATTGAATGGCTTGCAATTGGGAGATGTGAGCACTGTGGTTGACCATGGTCTTGCCCTTGGGCAGGAGGCACACTTGGTAGTATCTCAGTATCTCTTAAGTTTCTTTTTCTTTTTAATAAGATATTTGTCATAAATTATTATTTATTTATTTATTTTTGTGATTTGGATTATGTTTACTAGTTTATATAAATCACCAATGCTTTTTCTATCAATAGACATTTGTATATGAATGATACGCGCTTTGACCTACATATCATAGGGTGTAGGGGTGGCAATTGGGTGGGTTTGGGCGGGTATTGAATGGAGCTCACTTTAAGTGGGCTAGGATTGCGTTGAAGCTTCCACCAAGCCAAATTCATTATTTATCAATTATCACAATATGGAGGTTTCGATATGTGTTTGTTGATGATAGGGGTGGTGCAGGATTGTGATTCGGGATGCATATTGGGTGTGCCATCCCTAACCCAACCTGATTGTCATGGGCTTAGAAAACTATTTGAACAATTAAGGTTGGTTTTGGTTTGAAAATTCCAACACAAACTCAATTTGGGTCGAACTGGGGTGAAGGTGTCGATAACCCAACGCAATCTAAAATGGACAACCCAAGTCAACCTAAATTCTTCCTGTCATGGTACCATATCGAACTCTTGACCTGTGCCTCCCAACTAAACCAGGTTGTCAGAATCCAGTGGATCAAAAGGTGATCTGGTAGTTAACCCGATTTCTTTCCAGACTCTTATGTGTGTGTGTGTGTTATATACATTTATACTTTTGTTTTTTATTTTTTATTTATCCATTTTATTTTTTCTTAATATCCTGATTTAGTGATATTAGTCCTCTGGAGAATTAATTGAGCATCACATTGTTATTTTGTATAATGCGAGGGCAACCTAATATCAACCCTGTTTTTAGCCCCATTTTTCTAACCGAGCTGAATCAAAGTTTAAAAATTTGAGCACGGATTGGGCTCAGGTTGAAGGTTGGATTTGGTTGGGCTTGGTTTGAAGGATCCCTTGGGTTGAGCCTGATTTCTCGACTCATACAACTTGCCCGAGTTGCACCTCTAATTGTGTCAGAAACAAAATCAAAGAGTTTCAAGGGGGTAAAAGAGGCCTAAATAGGCCCTAATCGGAATATATAAGGCAAGAGGAACCTTGGGTTTTGATTGGTGAATGTGAATTAGACATATCCAAGGAATGGGAAGGTGCATGGTGTTCTCATATCTCAAGGCTTGGGACTTACTTTGTGGGACGTGCCAAGTACTTATAAAGGAAATGCTCACATAAGAGAAAAGAAGAAAGAAATTGGATTTTTTTTTTTTTTTTTCTCTCTCTCTCTCTCTCTCCCTATTTGGTACTCACACACATTTGTCCTTTCTGAGACTTGAACCTCTGACTTTCCTTTGGGCTGTGTTACCTGGACTCTCCATAATTGGCGGGAGTGTCCGTGTCGACACGACACGGACACGGACACGGGACTCTTGTCGGACACTTTTTTGTTGAATCGGACACTGCGAAGCTCCCTGGTTCTCTGGTTTGAAGTCCTGGTTATCTCTGGTTTGAAGTTTACAAAGGTTGAAGACGGATCTGTGGATGACAGGGAAATTTGTGCCTTAATTTTTTATTCATATAATATATGTATATACATTTTTTAATACTCCCGTGCTCATTGTTTTTTAGGCTAGGATCATCATTGTAATATTATATTATTATAGGTATATTACAGCTGTGGGTATCAGTCATTATAATATTATATAGTACTATATTATAGCAATAATTACAATATAATATTATATTACTACTTCCAAGAAAGTGGTGTTTTTTGTTTGGGGGGGGGGGGGGGGGGGGACTGGAGGAGGCTTGCATGTACCATCATTATAATATTATATTATTATATATATTACAGCTGTGGGTTACGGCTGTAACTCACATCCATTTCACACATACAAATTCATTGGGCTACGCTATTTGGGTGTTTGAATTATTGTTAGGCCTCTATTATTTTGGACTGACTTTTGGGCCTTCCCAGCTCCTTTGTACAACATATATGAAGTGTCCAAGTACCCGTGTCCGAATTTTGGACACTTATATTCCTTACCTCCGTGTCCTATAATTTGATAGATAGATGGATCCGACCTCTAGACACGTACCCGTGTCCGATACCCGCACCCGAGTCCGTGTAACATAACTTTTAGGAGGTAAGAGGCTGATACTGTTAGGCCACTGCCCTTTGGTAAGAAATTGGATTTTATTGTTTGATTAATTTAACTTCTTGAAATCATTAATGATTCAATTTGAAACAAAACAGAAATTTCTCTCTTTTAAATGGAGAGACTTCTTATGTTTCTGAGCTTTGTGGTGGTGATAGGGGTGACAATAGTTGACATGACACGGGATAAGTGGATCCGAGTTAATCTTGTTTGGGTCATAATCGTGTTGGCCAAAATTGACACAATAATTATATGTGTCACGTTTGTGTTGGACTCTCCAACCCATTTATAACCCGATTAGACACATTTAACTATGGGTTAAGTGCAAAACCCCCCCTCTACCCTTACTTCAGTTGAATAAATTAATAACTGTAAATACAGGCCATGTAAAATGACCCTTTTGTCTAATTTGTGTAAAATTGCGTTTGTTTGGAACAAGAATAAAATAAACCTCAATTTGTATAAAATTGGGATAAGCTAAACCAAAGAAACCTAAAACTGGATATAATAAAAATAGAAACCAAATAGTCCCAAAATCACCTATGCCACTTCCTCCACACCATGGCCGCCGCCTCCTCCCACCTCCTCCCATTGCCCATGCCACCTCTTCCCCACCATGGCTTTGCAGATTAGAGCTTTAAATACGCGAGTATTATGTTACTATGTTTGACTTTTCTCTCTTCTCTTTCTTCTCTTTTTGACGTTGGAGTCTTCCATTCCGGCGTCAGCCGTTTATGTCTGTCATTGGTTTTTCGTTTTTTTGGCAAGGAATCGTGATATGCATCGATCCTATCTCAGTGTTGCGACCCTACCACGTCTCAATTTCCACGGGGAAATCAAAAGCTGCTCTATAGGCAATGATCTGGTTTTTAGGGTTGATCATCAAAGCATCAAGGAGCGTGAATCTGTATTGTGATCATGTTTGGTAGTTCGGTTCGACAGAGACGTGGGGAGTCTTGAAGGGATTAAGGCGTGGGCGTCGAAAACTTGGAAGGTTTCATGTGGGGTGAAAGTTTCTCCTTTATCTGATGATCTGCTCCTGTTCAGGTTTCCATCGGAGACTGAGGCCTTAAGGGTGTTGGATGAAGGGAGAAAGAGATGGGGCGACGCCTTATTATCCATTGACATTTGGTACTTCGCCGTCGGCTATTTTGCTATAAAAGAACGAGTAATACGAAGGGTGATATTGTTTGGTTTGCCCCTCTATCTATGGTGTAACAAGTTATTTGAAGCAATTGGGAACTTATGTGGTGGATTTCGAGGTGTTGAGGTGGACGTCTCGGCGTGTGGACAGCGAATTCTCCTCTATGTTTCCGCCGAAAAAGTGATGCCGGAGTACGTTTTTGTTGAGGACCAACGAGTGGCTTACACGGTTAACTTGATAGAGGAAATCACACCTCATATCCTTCCGAAATCTTACTATGGCATTGGGGAGAGTTCACATATCTCGGCTGCTGCAACTGAATGTAGACACTGAAATGCACAGATCCACCAAGGCGTCGAAGGAAAGAGGCGACTGCTTATTCACGCATCAGAAGCGCGTAGAGTGGCCAGAGTCAATCAATCCCTTAGTCACTGTCTTACGTTCCCTCGTAATATCCGCACTAACGGATACCAACCACGTGGCAGAGATCGTGGCTTTAAGGGAGATATTTATGCAGCGGATTCTGATGGGCCTAAGCGCGGGCTTGAAGCGGGTTACGGGCCTATTTTGACAAATGGGCTGCTTGTTCATCACGGCCCAAAGGAGATGAAGAGGGTTGCTCATCGGGGCCTGTTTCTTTTAAGAACTAGCCCAGCCCACAGCCCATTGCCAATTCACGTTATGGACCAAATGTGAGTAACCTGAAGAGAAAGGTTTTGAGGGGGCCCAATAATAAAATTTTAGTTTTTGTTATCAACTTCAGGCCCAGCCCACCTATTTCTACAGAAGTTAGCCATTTACAGAGGCGTCATTTTGATTATACATCTGCAATCTTCTGGAATTCACCAGAGAAGAAGAGATGGATGAACTTATCTGCTGCCGTGACTGGTGGAGGTCCTATTGAGAGGGGTTCTCGTCATTCTCAATGTTGTGCAGGCATCTCATCTTCATCCCTCTCTGATACTTTACAGCCGAAGGGAAGAATTGTCAGGTCTTCGTCTCAGGACTTTAACAGAAACCGCCACGGAGTTTGATGGTCTCGAAAAGAGAAGCAGAAGTGGACTTCTACTAATGTTCTGGGTACGCCATCAGTTTCACATCCTCAGATTTCTAATGTTCCATCCTCTTCTTTTACCCCTTCTTGTGTGTTGAGGAGTGCTGGCGTTGTGCCGGAATTGGAGAAGAGGTGCAAGTTGACCGTTACGAACATTGGAACTGACTCTTCGCATGGGCTGAATATGGAATGACAGGAAGATAGTGAGTTTGGCGTCTCTAGGCAGATGAAAATCGCAGATTGTGCAATCAAGAAATTTTCCGAAGGGGTTACAGTCTGTGTGGGCAGAGACTTGCATTTTCAGTTGTCCAATGATGAGGATGTAGCTTTGCTTAAAGAGCTTCGATTAAGTGTAGCACTGAAAGGTTTTAATGCTTGCCTTATGCAGGGGCTGACGAGAATGATTTTAGTAGATTCGCTGGGATGGGCAATTTTGTTACAGAATCAGATTCTTTTTATGAGAATGACAGGGAGCTGGAAGAGGAGGTGTTTGATGATTTGGGTTCTATCCAACAGGTTTGTTCCAATGAGCTTGCACCTTGGGTGGAGAATGGCTTTGAAATCCTATAGGAGGAACCACTGGCTATGGTGCGACCCGACGAACAGGTTGCTGACATGGGGAAAGATTGGGTAGTTGACAATATTGGAGTTACTAGTGAGCTTTTGGGA